GAAGAAATTTGTTTGTATAAACAATTGAAGGTAAGTGCTTTTAACATTCTTAATAAAATATTCAAATTACAGGTAGAAAACTTAAAAAAAATCCGCTTGCATGGAAGTAGTGAACATAAATTCAATTCATCAATTCAAAGTTTTTTTATATAAAGAATAAACATTTTTTTTTTAATTTCTTGGCGTATATCTTGGCGTATCTGCATTTTTCAGTGATACAGAAAATATATGGTGCTTTGATCCTATCCAAATATTACATTTGTAACAGTTATAGGGAAAAAAGTTACGTGTATTTGTGATGCTGAGTGAATGATGAATTTTGATGACTGCGAAGAAAATTATTATTATTTTTTTAAATATCTGGATCGAAGTGCTTTTTTGCGAGGGGATGTTTCTATTTTGCGCGCAGTGTCGACGTCCTTCTGGGATTCTCTCTCTCCCTCTCTCTCTATTAATGTGTAAGTGTTACAAGTTCTTTATTATATATTAAAAATTGAGCAAAATTATTTTACATCAAAAGAATAATTCTTATGGATTGAAACAAGTATAATTTTTCCCACATCCCTCCTTTTCGATATTACTAGATCTGCTCTAAAATAGTATGAAAATAGTTATAACATACGAAATCCCTTAGGAATAGTCACATACTTACCTAGTCGCCTGGAAGGAAAAAAAAATGAATATATTCTAAAGTTTATAATTCTCAAGTCGATGGAGTTTATTTAAAGAACGTTATTTTCACACAATTTTCGAAAACTGTATCAGACGCAGTCAACATCATTACGTTTTCAGTGAGTAACGTCAAATTTGTTTTGATTCGCTTTACTAAAATGCTCATGAAATACTGAAAAAGTGAGATATTTTCAAAAATGTATATTTGCATTCAGAAAGAGTCCGGCTATCAAAATTTACCAAAAAGTCAATCTATGAAAATTTGACCTTAAGGGCCCTTTTCTCGTGACGGCAGTGATATGGTCTTCTGCCAGATATAATTCGGGAATAGCATACATAAGAATAGGACGCCGAGGACAACCGATGCTATTGGTTTTGGATTGTAGAACATGTGTGTTCCACGTGTTTCGTAATTCATCAAGGTGCTCCTTTAACAAAAAAATCATCATAAGTTCTCATCATGAATATGCTATATATAAAATCTGTAAAAACAATGTTTCATCATATCTAAACAGTTTGGGAAAATCTTTAAGAAGTCACCACTTCTTGCTCGCCAAAGCAGCCGCATATCAAGGCGTACATATGTACGCACAAACGTCCACATCATTTTTTAAAAAAAAAAAGAAAAAAAGATGGAGATGGAGGCATAAATTCCATGTGCGCTTGTTTAAAGCATATACGTTATTTTCCAGTCCTATATTTAAAAATGTATTTAAAAATGTATTAATTTTCGATTCTAGAATATAAAACACTAACTGTGCAGAGTACGTTTTTATCCGATAAATAAAATTCGAAGTTCTAAAAAAAGGATCTGTCGTTTTTTCGAAAGTAAATGATAAGCAACTTTATATACTAAATATACATATATATTTTTACAGAAGGATATGGCAATAACGAACAGTATTCAATCTCAACGTCCATTAAACAAATATACAAAATAAGAGCAGAGCAAACACGGACCTCCGAAACATCAGAGGTGGGATCAGGTGCCATGGAGGAGTGAGCATCCCCTGCCGACCGGTCACACCCGCCGTGTGCTCGTTTTCACAATCAGGAAATAACAGAAAAAATCCGTGGTTAATTCAGAGTATAAATAATGGACTAACAATTGGTATGAAAAACGTCAGTCAGCATTTGAATCAATGATAAATTGTATTTGCTGACAAGGTCATTATATCAACCATAGAATTTACGAAATGATGACTTTAAACGAGACTGTTGATATTCTTGTTTCATCAACTTGCTTGTCAATAATTTACCTCGTTTAAGAAATTGTTCATACGTAGAGCATGCTCTTGCGTATCGAATCAACTGAGATATAAATACTCCGTATGCAGGTGATGAAGGTATATTGCTGCATAAGTAAGGGAAAATGACGATAGATTCACTTTATGGAAGTAAACATGTTATGTATCTCATAATTTATAAACGAAAAGAACATTCTGATTAACAATCTGTTCAATGCTTAGAAACCTATAATTCTAAGTAACTACTCTCACCCCAATCTCCATACACCAACACTAAAACTTATATGTTTAGTGCACTGATTACATTTTATTTTCAACATAATTAATCAGTCAATTACGTGCAAATCTGTCTTTTGCCTTACGTATTTTGTCTCTTTAAAAGTCTATAATTTTGTCACACAACGATATTGGACAGAATCTTTATCATTTTTGAGTGTTTGTCCGCATGTTGTACATAAACAGAACAAGGCTCGAATAAGGTGCGTTATTAACATATAATTTAAAGTGCATGAAAAATGTGATGAGGAGGAAAGAATAAACACATCGAAATCTTCGAAATTATTCACTTTCGATCCTCAGTCCCCACCATAACTTCTCCCTGATCCCATTTAGGACCTAAAGGCGGCCCCAGCCTATCTGCGTACTGGGGCGTTCGCATAAAAAAATTCTGGTCTGATTTCTGTTCTTCTTGTTCCTTATATTACAATTTTGAAATTGATTTGTTACATAATGCGATACGTAGATGGGTTCGACATTATTAAATCCCCGCTTTAAAAAGCGAAATGATATATAGTAATCGGTATGTCCGTCCATCTGTCTGTCTGTTACGCTTTGGGGTACCAATCTCTTATCCACAACTACTCTTATACCACTGAATGAAGTTTTATGAAACGTTCCTAAGATCTTTATTACATATTGCTATTGTGCAACTTCTATTTTACTCTTTGATCTTACGCATATTCGGGTTTTACATACCAAAACATGGATAGTTCCATTTATACATTTGGAAGGCGGGGGGAATCAGTAAGTGAGCTCTTTGCTCACAGTACCTTTAGTTCTGATCTGATTTACTTTATATTAGTTATATATACAATTAATGAGAAAGCGTAAAAAGATAAAAAATATTTATATAAATTCATTTAAAAAGGAGAAAATGAAAGGGTGGGGTTGTACTTACGGACATTACACCTTTAAATTTATTAGGTGATTTGTATTTTCATTTTACAGGCTTTTTTCACAACTTACATTTTCAAGTAATCTCTTTTTTTCACAACTTACATTTCCAATTAATCTCTTTATTCATATAATAAACTTGTAATTCTTAATAATCTATTTTTATTGACACATCTTAATTGACGTCAATACAGTAACTCCTAAAATAGAGAAACAATATATAACAATAAATAATGAACAAATCAGAATCATTGTATCAGCATGGTCATGGTGAGCGTCATGGACCTTTAAAACAACTGTATAACAAAAGGGAAACACCTTTTTAAAAAATCTAATTAAAAATTTTATGTGAAGTAATCATTTTCATATACCAGTTAAATACTGTCTTTTAGTAATTTTCAATCTTAAGTTGAAAATGATTACATTACAAATCATAAAAGACAAGGAGGTACCTGAATAATTTCAAGAAACCAAAACTGAATCAAGTTATTGTCGAACACATCACCGCAGAATAAGTCGTTCTGGTCTTTCCCAAATCTGAAATGTCAAAATAATATTTACCTATTTCTCTCAGAAGGAAGCTCCAAAACCACTCTATACGTTCGTTATGTGTGATTTTTCCACAAAGAAAACTCCTTTCAACTGAAAATTTATCATTATGGTCTTGACGTCAAAAAATCTGCATGTCTCCAACTGAGGTATTTCCAGTTCCAAGATCAGTCTGTATTCTTTTAGGACAGTCATTTTTACTTTCTGATTGCCTCTAAAAATGACTGGCTATTACTTTAGGATCACTACTGGTTGTCGATGCTTCAAGCCAAATGACATACATTGAAGATCCGTCTATACAGCCACTAATGGCGACGACGTAAGGTTTTAATTTATCATAGGCATCGATATGCCAAACAAAGTTAGGGCCCGGGTTGAGGTATCGTCTTTTCACCAATCTTCCTCTTCTTCTACTCAACACACCCTTTGGATCAAGTAGTCGCAATGGTTTATAAACAACATCCCTCAATGTATAACATGTATATCCAAATCGTTTACATCTAAATAGATCATCGATAACCATGTATGAAACCTGATGTCTCAAACTGAGTGAGAAGGAAACATGCAATGTCGAGAATATCCGAGTGATTTTTACGAAAGTATAATCAAGTATTTGTCAATATCTCTTAAGACTAAATTCAATTCCAAACGTAATATATTTTGATGAGATTGTTTATGTAGTAGATCATTATCAAAAATGCTTTTGCAAAAATATCTTCTTTTATATGGATTTTGAAAAGGCGTAATCACGCCTTTCCAAAAGGCATAATGACGCTTTTTGACTCCAAAAGACATAAAAACCAGTTTTAAAAAGGCATACTAAGGCCTTCTAGAAAGGCATAATAACGAATTTTAGAAAGGCATAATAACGCATTTTGACACCAAAAATCGTAATAACGAGTTTTTGTTTGTGTGTGTGTGTGTGTTATTTTGCCTTTTTTCGCGTTACAACGCCTTTTTTGCGGTATTTTGCCTTTTTTCGCGTTATTACGCCTTTTTGCATTATTACGCCTTTTTGAAAGGCGTTATAACGCCTTTAAATTTTTCTTATAGATTGATCCTAATAGGCTTTCGTAGGTAAAAAAGGGTATTAGAAAAAGAAACGAGTTCATCCGGAATTCGAGCCCGAGACATCTTGCATGTTAAACGAGAGGCATACCACCACCATACATTGTCGGAAATCATGTGCTTGTTGCATGTTTTTACTGAAAGTTCACTTTTAAAATTATTTCATAAAATATTATTCAAATATATTAAATTTTGTATCATAAAAAAGACGTCTATGCTAGTAATTTACGATACAAAAAGTAATGTAACTATTCAATTTTTCTAATAAAGTCTATATCTTTCTCAAAACAGGTACCTGTTTAGTAGTAAATGATGAAGGAATAGTAGATGACGTCAGCTGCCGTAGCTTCACAGAGGGCTGTACAACAACACACTTCAAGAGTTCTGATCTTTATAAGTGTATGTGGGTACATTTTAAAGAAAAATGAACGTGTACTGTTATTTTATGTTCTAACAAAAAAAATTGAGGGGATCTGTACCCCCCTCTTAAGGATATCCAATCCTCAGCCAGGAAGGAGAACTCAAAAAATCAATATTAAATTTGAAATGCATCAAATTGAAGCTTCAAATGATTTTTTTTTTCATGCAACAATTTTCATTTTATCCACCTTAATAAGATTCAATGACTTTTTGAATTCTTAGAAAAACTCTTATAAAAGTTTATATTTGTGCCCCATAAAAGGAGAAAAAAAAATACAGTTTTAGAGAAATTAAATTTTCTTAAATCCAGGCTTACATACCAATGATTATTAGCATGTTATGAAATACGAAATGATTTGTGGTGTCTTGCAATGATAGCAAAATCATTTTACACTATGTACTATAGAATATATGACGGAAATAGCACTAAAAAAACAAATAAGTATAAAAATCATGACAATTTCTTCGAGGCTCTGGATACCTATCGTTTTTAAACCTAAAATATAATTGTTGATCAACTTGCAATTAGAAAATTCATTGCAGATATTCCAACATGCTTTTTTTGCACAAAAATTAGAAATTTTGCAATTTTCCCTTTATAATATGATAAACTGTAATCTTTAATTTTAAAGATATACTGTGGACAAATTAACATAACTTTGTAGATTCAGAGATACTTTTATGAGTTACGGTATTTTGATTACATTGCTGCTAATTCTATAAACCGGAGGATCGGACTACCTTAAACTAAAGGAAAAAGAGAGCATTCGTGGAACTAGAGAGGGGGCACTTTATAAAGGTCAGGCGGGCTATAGGGTTTTATGGTATTAATATTAAATGCAAAAACTCAAAAGCTTTTTGGAATACATGTAACACCTTGAAAGGTACGTTTTACACACCGACAGAGGATAAATAAACTAGTTGCTTTCCTTTAAGAAAAGGACTTCAATACGTGGACCATATGCGTGTTTTTCTAACTAAAATTCAATTAAGAAAATTTCTAGGTGTAGAGAATATTCATGTAAGGTTTGTTCACTTATTCTAAAATTATATGCTACTTATAACTGATCATAGTCTCAAAGCACAAATGTGAAATTTTATCTTTAGTTTTGGCGATATTTAGTTTTGTCAGTTTTAACATGTTTAAAAAATTGGGTTATTTTGACACGTGTAAAACATTTTGACTGGGACTTGACACCTGTTCTGGATTTATACGGAAGAAATTTATCATGGGAAAAATGGAGATCTGATCGATGGTTCACGTGGAGGCCACCTCTATACAACGCAGATTTGTTTTTTATTTTGTCGGAGCACCCACACCCATCCCCAACACACACATTAAAACCCTTGCTACATACCTTGATCAACCAATAATTAGATTGCTGACATATTAAATTATTTTACGAGTCTTGATGCACAAAACTAATGCTGGTGAAAACTTGCTCTAGGTTAAAAGCTTTAAAAGCTACATGTATCTCTGTTCATTGAGTGGCGTTTCTCATTCAAGTTGTTAAGTTACATGTATCTATATACTGTAACTTCTTAAAATGTTTGTACCATAAACTCAATGTTTAGTATAAAAGAATATGTAAAAGAGAGGAAATCGAATCTGCCAATGAATATGCAAATGCGATATGCAGATTTAAAATAGGGCGAATTATACTACGGGCAAGTTACCTAAGGTGCGAACTCTCTAGCATTCGCGTGCATGCGTAGCCTCCTGTCGTTTGCCCAGGGCATCCGGTTTAACTTCGCTTATATATTTACTGCGTGGACCGCAATGACCTTCATCTTCAAACCTTCGGCCTCAAAATCAAAAGGGGCAAAAAGAAATGAGGTTTACAATTTCATAACAAAATCTCAAAGGCTTCTCGAGATATCACATGGAAACGAAGGTGTTAAAACAGTTATTTTTTTATTTTTTACCTTGGCCTTTTGACCCCAAAAAATCCATGGGGATTTTATATACATGTAAGCCATAGGGAATTATGTAAAATTTCACTTTAAAAGCTTAAAGGCTTCTCAAGATATCGGGTGAAACGAAAGTGTTACGGACATGTCAGACATTACAGCAGACAGATGGGCAGCTAAACAGACAGACCAAAATTTATGTTTCCAATTTTCTGCTGGAGACAGTTATGCCCATTTCTGTTACTTTTCTTTCATGCAAAATCAAAGTATCTTCAAATTGTGATAATTCGGATGCATTTTTACTTTATTTATACGTTTATTTGTATATTTAAATAGATCCAGCCTGTCATCAAATTAACAGAAGAGACCGGTGTTTTTATGCGGATCCGAAATGTCCCAAAATGTAAGAAGAACGAAAGAGAGCTTAAAAATTCTCAAATCAACCGTTTGAATTAGTACATAATAATTAAACAGATCCATCTGTTAACGAAATTTTTTCAAATACCTTTTAAGAGATTCAGAGATGACAACAAGAAACCGTAAATTTATGGTAACCAATGCAACAATGAACAACTCTGCAACAACACTTGATTTTTCAAATTCATACGTAATAACAGAAACTGGTCAAATTCCTGCAGGAGCAATAGCGGCCATAACTATAGCATTGTTTTCGACACTTACTATCCTTTTCTTTATATACATGATATACTTGTATAAGAAAAGAAAAGGACAATCATCAATCTCAACCACAGGTACATGTACATACATGTTAATGTTAAATTACAATTGCTGTGGAATTATCACTGTGTATATCATTCCACCTCTTCCTTTCAATTTTCTACATGTATCATTATGTTTGTAATCAGACATTGTAAATTACATGTACATGTAATTGATCGTTTAAGCTTAATTCTCTTGATAATGACAGTGCAGAATCATCCTTGCAATGCCAGGATTCCTGAGTCAGCGCGTTGCAGTTGAAACCCTGGCAAATTTCATTTGATATTTGTGGGCTTGCTTCATTCATCGAGAGACATCATGCAATTAAGGCTTTCATGAACATGTAGATTATATAAACACCATTTATACATATTACACCTCAAATACACTTGTTACGAGTTATTTATCGTATAATGACTTGTTGTGATTGGTTGAGAGATAAGAAAATAATCAAGAATTGTAAATGTTCCGAAAGACATGGCTACAGTCCGCCCATGAATATCTTATGAATTATGCCAGGGGCCCAACTGCAATATGTTTCTCAGGAACCCTAGCTATGGAAGGGATGTGCAGAATTAATTAATATGACATCCTGTTTCAAAAAATATCTATTGTATATAATGAATAAAGAAATTATATGTTTGTTACCTGTTCCAGGCCCGATTAATATGATTCTTATTAAACATTGTGTTTGTTGTCATGATCATGAACAGAAGAAGAGCTTACTTAAGGATATCCGATCCTCATCCAGGAAAGATAACCCAAAAAATTACTATTCAGTCTAGAATGTATCAAAATGAAGCTTAAAAATGATTTTTTTATGCAACAATTTTCATATTTTCTTCATCTTTATAAGATTCAAGATTTTCGGAAGTCTTCGAAAAGGTCTTATAAAAGTTGACATCAAAGTTGGCACTAGTTCTGGTTTTATTCATAAGTACGGAGGAATTGGATCTTCAGTACATTTCCTACATATATGTATATGATGCGTAAAAATTATAATTAATGACAAACGGTGTGCGGTATTGATTTGATTTTGATTCCAAAATTAAGGGATACGTGGACATACATGTATGTTTGTTCCTTTTTCTAATATCCTGGTAGAGAAAAATAGGAACATTCTAAATCAGAACAAATGTACATTTTTCGTAAGCTTCAGCGTATATGTACTAGTATTTTAATTGTGCTCAAGTAGACCACTACAACCTTTCAGATAAAGAAAGTGTTCCTTTGGTAAATTTGAGGGAAGATAACTCCAAAGGTAATAGTATTCTTCTTTAATTTACTTATTGTAAATGAAATGCCATATACATTGTACTAGTAGTTATTTCTCTTTTAAACATGAGAGGCTGGAGGTATTATCTTTACTCTACAAATGTACATGTATCTCTCAATTAGATGTATAGATAACATAAAAATTGATATTTCAACGAATTTTGACCCTGGAAAAGGGATTATATGCCTGCACAGGACAGTTTTTAGATTGAATATGAAGACTTATCAGTGTAGACAGTATTGCATCCAAACACTTTTTTGAGTTTTCTCTTGAGAGAAGACCCAACAGGCCGAATTATGATATTTGACCCCAAGATCTTGATCTAAACGTTGGGTGATTTTTATATATTAATTATAAATCTTTGCTGTAACTTCTTTTTTTAGCTCTACTTGTCAGAGAAGAGATAAGCTTATGCGACAGTAAAGTTTACGTCGTCCGTCTGTTTTCTTTCTGTCTGTCTGTAATCAATTTTAAAAATTATTATCCTTCTCCAGTTTTGTTCTGGTTACAATATAACTTATCACATAAGTTGACTACACTTAATAAGATACTTAATTCTGTGTAACAGTTTTTGATTTCGCTGAACGCTGTTGTTATGGTTTCTAAAATAGAAATTTTTGTTAAATACTCTAAAATTGTTATACTTTCTCCAGATTTCAATGTACCTTGGCTCACAAGTAAACTACATTAGAATACTTAATATTCTGTATCGGTTTATGTTTTGATGAATGTTATTGCCATTGTTGCTAAAAATAAAAAATTATATGAAATTCTTTCAAAATGCTTCTCTAATTAGTTTAAGTCTGATTATTGTATAATGTGGCATGCAAGTACAGTTTGAAGACTACACTGAGATACACAATTGTGTTTTTTTTTTTTTCGTTTTTTAAATATTTTTTGATTGATGTTGCAATTGTACCTACAATTGAAAATTCTGCAAAACCATATAAAAAGACAAGCATATACTCTGACAGTAGCTGTCTTATTTCAATCTTGCGACAGAAGAAAACTAAATCAAGGATTACTATTCTATTTATTGATTTTGAAAAGTTCCGAGTCGAAACTGCAACTTTTCTCTTTCTTTCTTAAAACTTACAAACCAGTAGTCCTACATTCTCGGCAGGGACTTCTGGGTACTAATGTAAAACAGAAATAATGGACATGTTCAATGTTCTTATCAATTGTTTTGTCTTTAAGAACATGAATACTAAATAGATCTTACTATAAAAATAAGAAATAAGAAAATGTGAATTTTTTTGAATACATGTATACGTGTATACTTTAATATAATCCTGATATGAAAAAAGCATCATAATAAATTACAACAAATGTATTTTCCCTCAGCTTTAGGATAGCAGTACTAGATTTTTAATTGAGCTCAAGTAGACCACAATAATTTTTTTTTCAGATGAAAAAAGAGAAGGCGTTCCTTTGGTAAATGGGAGTAAAGATAGCTCCAAAGGTACTAGTAATCAACTCTATTTTTCTTACTACAAAAGAAATGCCAGATACATTGTACCAGTAGTCCCTTCGCTTCTAACCAAGACAGGCGTGTGATGTCATCCTACATCTGTCTTTCAATAAGATGATAGTATCGTTGTCTTAATTACATGCATATATACATAATATAAAATCGATTTATCAGCGAATTTAGCAGAATCAAATTCCAACTCAAAAAGTTTTTATAGTCGTGCACAGTACAATTTGTTGATTGAAATTAAAGTCTGATCTTTGTAGAGAGTATTGCGTACTTACATGCTTGAGTTTCCACTTGAAAGAACAAACACCAGGCTGATTTATGATATTTGACCCCATGATCTTGATCTTAACTTTTAATGCATTAAATATTTAATCTTTTCCGTTAATTCCTTTGAATAGGCTCTACTTGCCAGAGACCAGATGAGCTTATGTGATAGTAGTGTGTCCATCGTTCGTCCATCTGTCTTTGTTTTTTCCTGTCTGTCCGTCCACCTGTCTTTCTTGTTGTCTGTCTGTCTGAAAACATTTTTTCACAATGTTAATCCTCCTCCTACAGATTTCTGACAGATGGTCTGATTGAACTTCGCTTACATGAAGAGTACATAAAGATAAATAATTCTATTTGTTGATGTTAAATTTCTATGAACGGTGTTGTCATGCTTATTAAAAGTAAAAATTTCTTTGAAATACTATCTAAATGCTAGTCTACATTACACATTTTAATCAGAACAACTTTACATTTTCCGTTAGCTTTAGGGTAGATGTACTTGTATTTCAATTGTGCTCAAGTAGATGACTTCAATTCTTTTCAGATGAGGAAACAGATGGTGTTCCTATAATGATAATTGAAAATTCTGTAATATTTTATTAAAGGCTACTTAATCAAAGATCATTATTCTATTTATTACTTTTATAACATTTTAAGTTCCAACTGCTACTTTTCTCTTTCTTTATTATGAATACACACAAGGAGAGCTTCAGTCTCCACAGAGACTTCTTGTTACTATGGTAAAACGGAAATAATGGACATTTATAATTTTCTGATCAGTTTTTTTTTCTCCATGCACATTCATTGAAAAAAATATCTTACTTCAAAAATTGGAAATAAATAAATGAGAAATTTATTAATACATGTATATGTATATACTTTTATATATTTTTGATATGCAAAAGAGCTACATTATTAATCAGAACCAATTTGCACCTTCCTTCAGCTTTAGGATAGATGTTCTATCTTTTTTAGATGAAGAACGAGAGATGATTCCTTTGGTAAACGAGAGGAAAGATATCTCCAAAGGTAATAGCTATATAGTAATCTGCTGTATTTTACTTACTACAAGAAAAAGCCAGATACATTGTATCAGTAGTCATTTCTTTTCTAACCAAAAGAGGCTTTCGATATCATCCTTCATCTTCCTATCGATTAAATTGATTATATCATTGTTTCAATTAGATGTATAGATGATTTAAATTTTTTTATTTTTTTTTAATCTTTACCGTAATTTCTTTTTTAACTATCTACTTGTCGGAGAACAGATGAGCTAATAGGATAGTAATGTGTCCATCGTCCGTCCATCTGTCTTTTTTTTTGTCTGCTTGTCCGTCTGTAAACATTTTTTCAAAATGTTACTCCTCCTGCAGTTTTGGTCTGGTTTTCATATAACTTCGCTCATAGGTAGGCTACACTAAGATACAAAATTCTGAATATCGGTTTTTAATTTCGGCGAAAAGTGTTGTCATACCTATTAAAAGTAGAAATTTCTGTGAAATACTTTCAAAATGCTACTCCTCCTCAAGTTTTTGTCTGATTTCAAGTAACTTGGCACACAAGTAGACTACAATGAAAACAGCATTTTTTGGATCGGTTTAGATGTCAATAAACGGTGTTGCTATGGTTGCTAATGATAAAAATTTCTGTGAAAAACTTTCAAAATCCTTCCACAAACACAGATTAAGTCATTATAACGTGGCATGCAGGTACAGTTTGTAGACTACACTGGATATACAATAATTATTGTCTTTTTGTGTTTTCTATTTTGTTTATTAAGGGGGATGTACGGCCACCTTTAGTGCAGTGAGAAAAAAAATGTAAACATTCCTTCAAATGGATAAAATACATTATATTTTGATCAAATTTTATGTCCTTATGATAAAGATACAATAAATATGCATAACTGAATGCATGTTGTGCATATATAATCTATACTTTTGCAGAAAAATGCTTTTGATATGCTCCTTAGAACTGCGCAGCTACAGAATTCAGCAGACGCTAACAAAAAAAATACTATTGTAAACTATAGTTAACTATAGTTTACTATAGTTTACTATAGTAAATCAAAGTTCCAAAGTTTTCACCATAGTAAATCAAAGTTCCAAAGTTTTCACCAAAGTAAATCAAAGTTCCAAAGTTTTCACCAAAGTAAATCAAAGTTCCAAAGTTTTCGCCATAGTAAATCAAAGTTCCAAAGTTTTTTCCATAGTAAATCAAAGTTCCAAAGTTTTTTTTCCATAGTAAATCAAAGTTCCAAAGTTTTTACTACAGTAAATTAAAGTATATAAGTTTTTGTACGTTTTTTACTAATTTTTAAAATTATTTATCTGTTTTAAGGGTAATTATTTTGGTTTGTTTGGGCTGATGTATGATGTTCATCTCAATTTAAATATGCTAAGTATTTAATATACATACAATATTTACATTGAAAGGTAGAAAAACCATGTTGACTTGAGTTAATAAAGCAAATATTTTGATTCTAATTGACGGAATTTTTATCTTATAATAATTTTTTCCCCATAATTGATGATAAATATTGCTTTTTTATCGGTGCTAGTACAATTTTTTTTATTAAAATTCATTTCTTGTACTTTGTTCTTTTGGCGGAGGGGTCGGGTTTTTCTAACGTTCATTTGAGCTTCAATAAATCTTATTCTTAACATTTCATAAAATGTACAGAATGAGAAGCAAAACCATTATTCCACGGGTTTTATAGTACTTAATCAAAGTTCCAAAGTTTTCACCATAGTAAATCAAAGTTCCAAAGTTTTCACCAAAGTAAATCAAAGTTCCAAAGTTTTCACCAAAGTAAATCAAAGTTCCAAAGTTTTTACCATAGTAAATCAAAGTTCCAAAGTTTTCACCATAGTAAATCAAAGTTTCAAAGTTTTCACCATAGTAAATCAAAGTTCCAAAGTTTTCGCCATAGTAAATCAAAGTTCCAAAGTTTTCACCATAGTAAATCAAAGTTCCAAAGTTTTCGCCATAGTAAATCAAAGTTCCAAAGTTTTAACTTTGGTACTATAGTTAACTATAGTAAACTATAGTTAACTATAGTTTACTATAGTATTTTTTTGTTAGGGGAGCCTTAAAAATCCAAAAAAATACGCAAACTGTGCATTAATGTTCTCTCTACAACCATTTGTTGAGAAAATGTCCAAATTTTGCACTTTTAAAGGATAATTTTAAGTTCGAAACAAGATATCGTTGTTTTCAAAAAGAGTGAAAAGAACCATGAAAGTAGTTCATGGATAGCAGCACGTGGTCTATTTTTAGCACAGAATTTTGTTTTCCAGACCTCTTCTTAATATGGAGGGACATAAAAATCTTTAAATGTAGAAGAGAATTACAGTTGCAAAATATTTCAAATAGTATGAACACTTTTAAAAGAGGATATGTGTTAGAGTGTGGCTTGAAGTAATTGGAAGTAATTTATTTAGTATTATTATCGAACAGTTGTTAAATAGTGTACATATTGATATAAACTCTTTGATTCCAGGTAAGGAAAAATGAGCACCATCAAAGTTAAGAATTAAGAGTTTGTAAGTTTGCCACAGATAACATAATATCTATCAAAATTTTAATTATCACCAATGAAAAAAACTAAGAAATTAAACACATAAAATCGATATGAATGACCTTGTTTTAGTACCTACTAGTACGAGGTGTGATCAAAAAGTTCGCTAACTATCTCTACAAAACCACAATTCAGATTAGAAACAAATTTGGTGAACACATAGCCAGACACAAGTTCTATAAATAACATATGCTGAATAAAGTTTTTCTTACAATGTGAAAATGATGTCATTATGCAGGTACTTGTGACGAAAAATGGTTGTCTCTGTGGAACTCGTTCAACAAACGATTTAAAAATATTTATGGTATATCATAAACATGTCTTTGAGGTAGCATATAAGAATTTGTTCACAGTTTATTAAGACAAATGACTTCCTCTTAATTCAATCAATGATTGGATAGATCGTTTTAGTGAAGGAAGGCAGATGGTTAAATATGATACTTGTTATGTGAAAGCAAGTTTGAAAAGGGATGTGTTTTTAATTTATAAGTGAGAAAAAATTCCTAAACATTTAAACATGTTTGTAGACGGAAGAAAAAAAAAATCGTGTAATGAAGTGTAAAAAAAAATTGAGTCGGGGGCGCCATTTCTAGGCAATAGATCGGGAGAGAGGGCAACCAAATATTTTTATAACAAATGGTCTTATAAGGTTAGTACATGTTCCATCACATATTTAGTAATGCGAATTTTTTTAATCTTTAGCACTATTTTGAAAAACAAACGTAGGATTTTCGGGGGGGGGGGGTTAACCTCTCATTTTTATTTATTTATTTTTTGCAATGATAACCATAGCATATGCAATGGACCTTTCTTTGCAAACACTGTGCTTGCTTCTAAGTTTCAAAGAAGCAAATCAATATATTTTATCAAGCTTCGTACATGTGTATGTTCAATGAGCGAGAGCTCACAACGTTGTTAACATAAGGAGACATGATGCGTTTTTATGTCCAAACATTACTCCATACAATGTATAGTTCATTGCAAACAATCTAGCTATTTATGTGAGGTGTCTGAAGGAAATCCTCTAGCAGCCTATTTATTCTATCTAACTGCTAAACAAAATAGACATATGTACCAACTTTTCGAATGTAAGACATGTAATTACAATTTGTTTTTCATGCACCGTATACTGTTTAACATTTTCAAATGAAATGCTAAGCATCCTCCTTGCAGTGCCCCATTTGAAAATAACTTTTATCGCCACAGAAAAAAAGACCCGACGTAAACACATATGTTTAGGGCATATTTTATCTTTTTTCTTGAGTTTTAAAAAACCAACAAATTATCAAGACTTCTTCCATGAAAAATTAAATATAATCATAGTAATAAACGAATCTATCCACGGCAGATATATGCACATGCAAACCACGTGCTCAGTGGAATGATCTTATCGAGGAAATTCGAGATATAAACAGAACAGTTTTTCCCGATTTGCTGGAGTGGGGTTAAAATCGAGTTTTTTCATTAATCAGACGATGCGATGCAACAAATAAAAGTAGTAAGTAATATAACCTAATGAATATTACTTAGTTATTTCTTGTCTTGATGTTATTATTGTCGTATTTATTCTAAAATCAATGTTATTCGAACTCTGTGTGACAGAGGAATGGCGGACGAAATAAACACATGGCCTCAGGCAGACACCGATATGAAAAATTATAATTTTCAAGAATTATTGATAATAACAAGAAAAAAGCGAAACAAATGGTTGTAGCCATATTATGTATGAATCAAACAAACACCACTTTCAATGCATTTTTCATCTCGTGAATGCTGTATAGCAGCGCAGTTCTAACATAATTAATTTCCTTCTAATTAAAACAAAATACACCTAATTATTTACTAATTTTGGTCTCTAACAGTAGGTAATTGGTGCATTAGCACTTTGAGTAACTTTGGGCTAGTTTAGAAGAGTATTAAGCACATTCTTGGTATTTCTTATTTTACACCAGATTAGATCTAATATGGCTTGTACATCCCCCTTAATGATGCCACTATACATGTACCTAAAATTGAAAATTCTGTAAAATCTTATTAAAGGCTACTCATGTCCACATACAGTAATAGTATTATTACAATGTTGCCACAAAAGGAGACTTAATCAAAGATCATTATACTATTTGTTACTTTTATAAAATTTCAAGTCCCGACTGCTATTTTTCTCTTTCTTTGTCATAAATACAAATAAGGAGAGCTTCAGTCTCGACAGAGACTTCTGGTTACTATTGAAACACAGACATAATGGATATCTATAATATTTTTATCATTTTTTTTTCTGTATGCACATTCAATGAAAAAAGATCTTACTTCAAAAATTGGGCATAACAATATGTAGAATTTTTTAATACATGAATACGTGTATACTTGAATATATTTTTGATTAGTCCGAAAAATCTGACGTTTTTCTGGCTTTTGTACGATTTTCAGATTTTACATGCCAGGAAAACGT